AGCTTTACTCTTACTGTTGAGAGTTCCACTGGGCCAGAGGAGCAGAACTGTCCATCATGATCTTCATCCCAGAGCTTTAGAAGATCTTTTGGGTAACCTGGAACCAGGCCAAGGAATGCTTTGAAGACTCTGAACTTGATTCAAGATTCTATGTGAAGCCAATAGAGAGAGTCAAGGACAGGTTTGAGATGTTCCAGGTAGCCTGTGATTTTGAGGAGATGCGCTATAGCATTCTGTACTAACTGGAGTTTCCTAAGTGCTGAAGGCTTCATGCCTAGATATATAACCAAAACCATTACTGTACTCCAGACGAGAGGGGAAGGCATGAATAACTGAGGCTAGGTCTTAGTCGGCCAGGATGGGATGGAGTTTCGTAGCCAGACAGAGACGGTAGAAAGCATTACTCGTGGATGCTGCTATGTCAGAATTCAGCAACAGTGAGGAATCGAAGAGTACTCCTACACTACAGATTAACCTGACCAATTGTGGATGTGCATCTTCAACCCATGGAGACTACACCGGGGTTATAAGCTTTTCAAAATACTCCCCTCTGCCTTGCTCAGGTTCAGCTTCAGCCAACTGTTCTTCGTCCAAGAACTGATCTCATCCAACCACTGGGCCATCTTGGTAGAAGTAGTGTGGTTGTACGTGGTAAAGGATAGGTAGAAATGTGTATCATCTGCATATTGTTGGCACTTGAGTCTATGTCATCTAACCAGTTCACTTACTAGTTGCATGTAGATGTCAAAAAGTACCAGATAGTAAACTGATCCTTGTGAAACTCCACAAGTGAGGGTCTAGTGATGGAGCTGCAGTTTCCTATCACTACTCACTGGAAACATCCTTCCAGAGATGACTCAAGCCATTTTTGTGCCTTATCCTGGACACATGTCACCCCTCTAAGGCGAGACAGCAGAATGTCATGGTCAACAGTGTCAAATACTGCAGAGAGGTCCAGCAGGATGAGAATGGATGCCTATCCATTGAAAGGAGGAGATTATCCATCGTGCCAATAAAGCAGTTTCGGTTCTGTGCCCTGCCCTGAATACAGACTGTGCTGGGTCAGAACATTAGGGTCAGTTAAATGAGCATCGTCAGCCTTTTGCTAGCTCTTCTCTGAACTTGCTTAATTATGGGAGGTTTGATGCAGGATGGTAACTGACTAGGACTTGAGTATCCAGGGTAGGTTTCTTCAGGTGCTGGTCAAACTATTGGGTGTTTGAAGGAGCAAGGGAAGATTCCTTCTCTAAATGAGGCATTGGCTATTTCAGTCAGAAGCGGCACCAGTTGTTCACAACTCTCTTTCACAAGCAAGAAGGGCATGGGTCAGAGTCACAAGTCTTGCGTCGAGTCTCCTTTAGGGTATACAAAACTTCTTCATTGAATGTACTGAACTCTGGAAATGCAGGTGGGATGTTGGTTGGTGAGCGGAGGTGGAGCAGATGCATGCTGTTTGAGACGGCTTCTCAAAATGATCTTTTCAGCAAAGTGGCACTCTTTGCAGTATTTGGTGCTAGGCTCTGTTGCAGGTTGGCATTCAGGACTGATGAAGAGGTTTACCACAATGGATAGCTCTTTGGGGTGGGATTTAGCAGCTTCAACAGAGGTCTTGGCCTGTAACACAGCCACAGCATAAGCTTTGAGGAATTTTTTTTTTTCATGCTATCTGAATCAGGCTTTGTTTTCCACTATCGGCACTCACGTTTCCACCCCTTCTTTCTTCATCCAAAACACAGTGTCAGAAAACCAAGATCTGTATGGGTGATGGGGAGAAGGGGACCAACTGGGAACCAGCACAGCAGTGGCTGAGGCCACTATGGAATGGCAATGACTCACCAGGTCCTCAACTCCTCATTCAGCATGTGGGGTACTGTTGTCCTTTAGAAAGCTCTGGAATTTGTTGGTGTCCATGAGTCTTCATGGTTGAATCAGGGTCACTGGTCTTTCTTGTTGTGTGGGCAATGGAAAGTCTGAGACCACTGCCCTAATCATACAACAATCAGTCCAAAATAATGACTAGGTTGTGATGTTCTGTATCCTAACATAGAGCCTGAAGATCAGGTCCAGGATGTGACTGGATTTGTCGATGGAACCAGAGATGACCTGTGAACACCTTCGGGAGGGAAGTGAGGAGATGAGTTTCTGGTCTTTTGTATCTGTGGCCTTGTTTAAATCTCCCAGGATGACAAGTCTGGAGTATCTCTCCACCATCTCTGGCAAGGTATCAGTGAACTCTCTTGTGAACCCTTTAGTGGTCTGTAAGTAACCTAGATTTTATGCTCATCTTTGGCTCTGGTTTCTACTGTGAGATGAATGAATTCAGATGAAGTGGTCTTACCTGAGGCACCTCTCTTGCATTTCAGGTTTGCAGAAAAAATGAATGCAGTACTACCTGCCTTTTTGTGCTATCTAGGTCTGTGACATATTGAGAAACCTGGGGGAGTGAAGTGCACCAACACAAGGCTTGTGGAGTCATCCTTCCCGGTTTTGGTGATGCAGACTATGTCAGGTGCCTCATCACTCATGAGGGCATGTGTTTTTTGTTGTTAGCAGCAGATCTTGCATTGATCAATATCAGCTTTAGTTCGTAATGCCAATCAGGGCTGAGGGCCTCTGGCATGGTCTACGGAAGAGAACTGCACTGTGCAACTTGCACTGGTTCAGTGCATCCACATTAGTCATCCTGTTTTGGGTGCATCACTCGGTTTATCCACAAACAGAACTCACTGCAACTATTGCTGAGCCTGTGGACTGTTGCATCTATTCATAATTCCTGGCACAGCATCCAATATCTATGGCAGAGGTTCCCAAACTATGGTCCCTTGACGGACTGTGAAAGACTTGCTGGTGGTCTGTGAAGAGCTCGCTGGTTACATGGTGCTGGCTCAACTCCTTAGTTGCAGCTGCTAACTTGCATTAAAATACGTAACATTCTTTACTAATATGACTTTTCTATGTAAGCAAATGCTGTAATTGTCAAATATATGTGATTGCAAGAATGAGAGGAGGGACAATCCACAGGACAATTTTTCTATTAAGATGAGGTCCATCCTATGAAAAATTTAGAGAGCCCTAATCTATGGTATCTAAATGTGTATTTGTCTGCACTGTGTAATGACTGCATTAATATGGTTCAGTTCTCAACAAAGATCTACACAGGAGCTGGGAGGAGAAGGTGATGAACACTTGTATGCCCTCATACAGATATCATTGTGAAGAATCACAAGTATCTCCTGGCCCACTGGCAGATTGACTTTGGATCTGGAAGCCCAGAAAGATGTAGTGATTTTATTCTTTCAACAGTTTTTATAATTGTTGTTTGCCTGTGCTTTTGATTCTCTTTTCTGGATCTGAAGTACAACTAAAGGTTTCCTTCCCTCTCTCTTTTTTTAGCCTCTAAAATCCAGAGATGTGAGCGGTAAAGGCCAGGGTCTGAAGGAAGGATGTCCTCCATGTGGTCCAACAAGCTCCCCATTATTCCATCCCATCTAATAAACTGGGGGCCCACTCTTCTATCACTCTTCAACGGTATTTGGTTGGAGGAAGAAGAACAAGGAGGTGCTGGAGCACTATCATGAGGTATTTAATGGCACTAGAGGTTGAGTAGGGGTTAGGTGGTTATCCTGGTTGTGTATTTTTAAATTTATGTCCCTTTTTCAGATCTCAGGAGTGAAGGTGACATTCCATAGATGTACAGACTGTCATGGATTCATAGATATTTAGGTCAGAAGGGACGATTATGATCATGTAGTCTGACCTCCTGCACAATGCAGGCCACAGAATTTCACCCACTCACTCCTGCAAAAAACCTCTCACTTATGTCTGTGCTATTGAAGTCCTCAAAACATGGTTTAAAGACTTCAAGGAGCAGAGAATCCTCCAGCAAGTGACCCAAGCCCCATGCTACAGAGGAAGGCGAAAAACCTCCAGGGCCTCTTCCAATCTGCCCTGGAGGAAAATTCCTTCCCGACCCCAAATATGGCGATCAGCTAAACCCTGAGCATATGGGCAAGATTCATCAGCCAGATACTACAGAAAATTCTTTCCTAGGTAACTCAGATCCCACCCCATCTAATATCCCATCACAGGCCATTGGGCCTATTTACCATGAATATTTAATTACCAAAACCATGTTATCCCATCATACCATCTCCTCCATAAACTTACCGAGTTTAATCTTAATCTTAATACAACGACTATTATAGTAAGTGGATGGTGTGTGTAAAGTGCTTACATGCTGCTGCTAATAAGGGATTTTTGTTCTTTTTATTTTTTAAGTGATCCACCACTGCATGGAAGACACCAAAAGATTTTATTTTTTATACAACTGAAAAGTTTTAATAAAAAGTATTTTTGCTGTTTTTCTGCATGATCTTGTTGTGTCCTTCCCTGCTGCTCTAAGGGCGTGGGGAAAACAGAAAGAGCCAAGACAAGCTGAGTACCACAGTTCTTGGACCTGCACACAGCTGGTTGGCAAGGTATTTGACAGCTAGCTCTGAAATGACAAAACTGTCACTGGAGGATGAGTAGCAGCACTGAGAGTTGGCACTGGGAGGAGTAATTGCTCTGTTGCAGCTGCAATTCTAGTAACTTTTATCCACAGTAGCACTGCAAAGGTGCAGACGGACTCAGGCAGTGTAGGATTCAATGGTGATGCACCTGGTTCAAAGATAGTGCAACTGCAATAGCAGTGTGAAGGCCTATGCACAGTTCCCAAAAAAACTGTATGTTGAGATGAGGAGCATTACTATTGTGCTAAGGACTTGCAACGGTGTTTGCAATGCTAAAATACTATTTTGTCATGTAGGCTTCAAAGGGGACTTTTGAGAGCAGTTGTGCGCTAAGGCAGAGTATACTTATTCTGATTTCACAAATACAAGTCACTCAAAGCGAAGGGTTAAATTCCTTCTATAGTGTCTCTAACTAAATAGATTTTAATTTAAAACAAAAGAACCAAGAAAGCAGAGAGAAAGAGCGACTATTGTAAAGACTCCTTGTACCTGTGTGGGTTCTGATATGTTTCTGCAGGTCTCCAGAAGTCTTGAATGACTTGGTGCAGTTCTCCTCTGTACACCGATAGGGCTTCTCTCCAGTATGGGTTCGGACATGGCTTTTTAACCCATAACCTGAAGACAATTTAAAAAAAAAAACAAACCAAAATCTTAGATGTTACAATACTGCCATAGAAATATATCTAATACTCCGAATGTATCTGGTCACAAGAACTGTGCTCGTCAGTCCAGTTATGAAGTCCTCTGACCAATCAGTAACAAAAATCAGTTCTTCTATTCATCTCACTCTCCAAACATATCACTGATCACATAACCAGAGCAACAAAGCACTGCTTGCATTTTAGAAATCCTCTTTCACATTACTTATGAAAAACGTACTTTTTCTAATTTTTCTCCTTTTCCTTACAATGGGACAAATTCTGGTGATTGTACCAAAGTGGTCAAACCTTTGCTCAAGCTTCTGTAAAAGAAAAAAAAAGGTCCAGAACAATCTGTGCTTTCTCTCTCTTAGCAGCTATTCTCATCATAATAGTTTCAGACAGAGCCCAATCCTGCTCCCACTGAATTCAGACACACAGCTGGCACGTGGCTCCCATTTATTTATTGGCTTCTTATTCTACAAACGACTATTCTGAGTTATAAAATTGCACCCATCAGTCAAGCCTCCGGGTGCTATTTCATTTTTTTAGAAACACATTATGCAATAACCATAGACAATCTCCCCTTCTAAGGCAAATATCAAGAGCAATAATCCTGTGATAAATAACAATACTGAGAAATTTAAGGGCCTGATCCAGAGGCCACTGAACTCAATGGGAAGACATCCCCCCCTTGAGGAGGCTCATTCACTTCAGTGGGCTTTGGATTAGGCCCTAAAGGGACTGCCTTGTGCTGTGCCCTGAAGGGACAACAAAATGGAGGTTTTGGTGAAGTGAGAAGGTGGGGGCTAGTTTCTGAGCAAAGGATCCTCCACTGAGAGCATCCTATCTCTAGTCCCCTAGAAAAATGCAGCACCAAAGAACCCAGAAAAAGTTGCTGAAGACAGACTAACATGCATCTTTCCTGGCCCCATAGTGATACACACATTTCTACTAAACAAAGGCTATGGATTTTCAGAATGTGGTTCCTGATTTAACTTTACAATGTGCTGTTGCTATATCTCCGTAACAGTTGAAGTTTTGATTAAAAAACACTATTTGAAAACATGAAGTGCGTCTACCAAGTTAGCCAATCCCCTAACTTGTGTTCTTTCTTACTTCTACAACACAAACACAGCCTCAGAATCCAACTCAGAAAAGCTACTACTATTAAATCCAGGTCATTTAATCCTTGAAGATGCATTTAAACATCTGCAGGGTTTGCCAGGCTCAACTGGTACAATAACTGATCAAAAATACACTTAGACATTAATAGGGAAAATAAAAGGTAATGTATTTATCCTTCTGTCTGTTGCAATGGTATGCAGCGGGGGTGGCCAAACTGCGTCTTGCAAGTCACATGCGGCTCTTGCATAGTTAAAGTGCAGCTCGCAGAACCCCGCACATTCTCCGCCTACCAGACTGGCAGGGAGAGTTCAGGGCTTCTGCCCTGCAGTGGGGCGAAGGGCTTCTGCCTGAGATGACAGGTGGCTGCTGAGAATGGGGGGACAAAATTTAAAGGTTCGGCCTCCCCAACAGCTTGAGTCACCATCCCCAGGCACATCCCCCCCTCTTACCCTCAGCAGCCCCTCCCTGCAGCTCCCAGGTGTTAGCTCCCCATGGAGAGGCAGCTGCAAACAGCTGGGAGCTACAGGGACAAGCAGCAGCAAAAGCAGTGGCACTCCCTGCAGTTCCTAGCTGTTTGCTGCTGCCTCTCCGCATGGTCGCAGCTCCCAATTTGCCAGCAGCTGCCGTGCAGGGAGGAGGCCTGGCGACACCAGAAGACCGAGTGGGGTCAGCAAACCCTGGCAAAAATCAGGTGTGGGACGGGGAGGGAATGTGACCCCACATGCCCTACCCCACGCATTACCTCTGGCTTCTGCCCCAACTCAGGGCTTCAGCCCCACGGGGCACACCTGCCAGGGCTCAGGGCTTCAACAGGAGTGGGACTTCAGCCCCAAGCAATGAGAGGCACCTCCCATGGGGCTAAAAGCCAGAAACCCCCCCTCCTGGCAAGGCTAAAGCCCTGAGCCCCAACAGGTGCTTCTCACGGGACTGAAGCCCCGAGTTCCGACAGGTGCGCCCCAGCTCTCGAACTTCTGAAGATTGTCATTTGTGGCTGAGAGGGTCAGTAAATTTGGCCACCCTTGTACTATAATCTTAAAATTGCTTTACAAACACTGTGCAACTAAATTTATGTGAAGTCACTGAAGTGCAGTTGTTTTTGTGTTGGCCTTTCAGCCCAGTATTGCTTATATTAGTATGCCTACAAAGAAACCAGGCTTTTTATATTACAATGGAAGGAGTTCTTCATGCAATCTTCTTAATCTTTCCAGTTTCAGGGGTTTTTTAGCCCTATCTCTTTGTTTCTGTGTATTACAATCATGTTCAAAAACCAAGAAAAGAACATTTTAAAACAGCCACTGCTTGTTTTACTATCCTCCATATTTTACTTACTCATCTCATCACTCCATTTTACAAGATCAAATGAAATGTCATGCATAAATGGACTAGTCTGTATGAGCTGTTAAATTCACTTACTTTATGAGAAATGTCACTGCTTGATGCGACGGTGAAAAAGAACCAGATCAAGCACACCGCTTGACACAGAGTATCACCGATCAAAATTTTTTTTTCAACTGGGGATCAGAGGCTCAGATATCCTTGTCTGCAGCCAGCAAGTTGAGCCTTTTTATTTTCACTTTATTTAACTCATGAAACTTATTCCACATTAATAGATTTTTCTGTCCATAGTGTAGAAACTGACAATAGGATGCTAGATTACACATTTTCTTCTGTATCTCTTTGTTTCATTACGTTTCTGCTTCAATAACACTCAAAATACTCTTTTCCATAAGCCTCATTCCATCTTTACTAAGCTATGTTAGCTGAAAATATGCCCACTTCTCATAAATGGACTGAAATCTAACCTTTCTGCATAGCAGTTTAAAAACTGCATTAACAAAAACATGTCTTATAAGGAAACAGACAGGCCCTAGCAAACAGGAGAAAACACTCCCCAAAACATTACCTGTTGCAAATGCTTTGCCACAACCAGGATGTTCACACTGATATGGTCGATCTCCTGTGTGCGACCTTTCATGCACCTGTTAAAAAGACATCCACCACATTGATATAATACAGTATTTTGTCCGCTTTCTCGAATATAAAAACTATTTCATTGTCAAAAATTATATGTTTAGTCTCTCTTCTTGGAAGTCACTGCTTAAGAAGTGTTCTTTTTTTCAACAATAATAATGATTTTTTAAAAATAGGATAATAATGTGTTCTGGAAAAGTAGTAATGTCTCTGTTTTCAGGATCTGACCTGATGCCCTGATCAGTTTTATTGAAACAGGTGATTTGTCCTATTTTTGTAAAGAAGCAGAAGAGACAACTGAAAGGGTCACCAAACAGCTAAACTGGCAAAATTGACAGTAGTCTGGCTGTGTGCATGTGTGTCTCAAGGGCTACACTCCACCCTGATCGGGTTGCCAGTCCACTTTTCAACTGGAATGCCTGGTCGAAAAGGGACTCTGGCAGCTCCGGTCAGCACTGCTGACCAGGCCATTAAAAGTCCAGTCAGCGGCACAGTGGGACTAAGGCAGACTCCCTGCATTCCCCGACTCTACGCGTCTCCCGGAAGCAGCTGGCATGTCTGGCTCCTAGGCGCAGGGTCAGCCACAGGAGCTCTGCGGGCCGCCCCCACCCCGAGCGCTGGCTTTGCAGCTCCGACTGGCCGCATCGCCTGGCTGGAGCCTGTACCCCAACCCCCTGCCCCAGGTCAGAACCCAATCCCACACCCTAACTCCCTCCCGGAGCCCGCACCACCACCTCCTGCCCCCCTCTCACACCCAAACTCCCTCCCAGAGCCTGTACACCACATCCCCTCCCACACCCCAGCCCTAAGCCCCCTCCTGCACCCCAAACCCCTCATCGCCAGCCGCACCCCCTCCTGCACCCCAATGCCCTGCCCCAGCCCTAAGCCCCCTCCTGCACCCTGAACCCCTTATTTCTGGCCCCACCCCAGTGCCCGCACCCCCAGCTGGAGCCCTCACCCCCTCCCGTATCCCAACCTCAGGCCCCAGCTCAGTGAAAGTGAGGGAGGGTGTGGGAGAGGGAGCGACAGAGGGAAGGAGTATGGAGTGAGCAGAGGGCGGGGTCTAGGAGAAGGGGTATGGGCAGAGCTTCGGGGCAAGGGTGTTTGGTTTTGTGCGATTATAAAGTTGGCAACCCTTCACTCCAATTGGCAACCCTTCACTCCAGTTGGCAACCCTTCACTCCAATCCTCAATCCCTATGACGCCTCCCAGTGATCCTTCCCCTGCTGCATGAGACATTTAGCCAGTACTCCACCACTGGATTAGATCCACATGGAGTGAGAGACTGATTCTAGACTGCACTATCATTGGAAAGGTTGCACCCTCCCCCATCTGCAAGCGACTAACCTAGTTGGCATCTGTACTTCTCTACGTTCCGTGTACCAGAGCTAAGCACGGGATTGAAAAAGGGAACCAGGGAGCAAGTAGAAAAACAAGAACTGTTCCAACTTTTCAACTTTGAATATTTGATCGCTCTAAAGAACTAAAGATCACAATACAGCAATATGAGAATTCACATGATAGAGCAGAGCTTCCCATTGTATATAAACATAGAAATTAAAATTTAATTGTAGCATCTCCAGGCTACTGCTGATGGTGGCTATCTTGATGAAAAAAGTGACATACTTTGTGATACTTGCAATATAGGAACCTTACACATCTACATTCATTCTGCTTTGAAAATCCGAAGATTGACAACCTTTACATTCAACCTTTTTTCCTGCTGGTCTTCCCAGTTCTCAGCTGTGATGCATTTGTTTAATTCATGTTTTCTGGCAGCGTTTCCCAAAGTGTGGCGTGTATTTGGCTGGCCCACTGATAACAGTCCATTACCTGTTAAACTTTCTAAAAAGGGCCTCATCGCAGAACACTAAGCATGACAGTTTGGAGAAACTGGGGCATCTAGAACATCCTATTGATGGAGATTTCAGTGTACTCAACTTAGGATAAAAAGAATGCTCTTGTGTCTGACTTCTTGTATGTTTCCATTACCTTTGTCCATGTAATTGTGTAACCAAAGAATGCCTGCAAGCCACTGACCCTCATTCTGCAATTACCTTAAGATGGTGAGCTGTTGTGTACAATTTTCCACAGCCATCATATTCACAGCGAAAAGCCTTCTCTCCACTTGGCTGAGATTTAGCTGTCACTCTTGTTCCATGTCCTTGCAAGACAATCTAGGATAAAACAAATATGACAACATGGAAATCATTTAAGACGTTTATAACCAATTAGACAAAAATCAGATTTTCAAAATAAGAAATAATGAGAGTTAATCCTAGTTGATGTCTTTTGACTCAGTCCACCCTGCCATTTGCTGTGTTTGCTGATTCTCCTCCTGAAGCTTGTCTTCCTTCCAACCTACTCTCCCTAATGTCCCTTAAGTTTCATTTCCTTCTCCCGTTCTTGTCTTCATGCCTTCTTCAATGCAGCTCCTGCAATTGGAATTTCCTCTCAAACTGGTCTATCAAGCAACTTTATTTCTCTTTATTCAAATCTTTCCTTAAAACACAATTCTTCTGTGAGGCTTTTTAATAATAACCCCCCAAATAATTAATATAGACTTAAAAACAAACGATTTTTAAAAAAAAAAAGCATTTCTGGCTTGAAGATTAGACCTTGAGCCTCTATGCCTGCATATTTGGACTGTGTAATCTATGTTTTGGTTAGATTATCGATTCCTCAGGGTAGGAACGGTCTTTTTATAGGTTTATATGGGGCTGAGAATACTACCAGGGCTCAATAAATAAGAAACAATTATTCAAAAGTTAAGAGTAACATTGCACTTCAGTCTGCAAAATTTTGGCCAACAGAATTTTGTTGTGAAAGGAGGAAACAAAACACAGAAGCCTGTGAAGTTAATTTATTTTCAGCTAATAAATGACAATGGCATAAATGAATAATCAAAAAACAGTGAAAAGAAAGTTAACATGAAAAGTGAGTCCAGAAAGAATGTAAATAATCTAGTGGAAGTGAATGGGTTAGACTATAACACTTGTCCAAACTCATAGGAAAGGTGCTAAAGGAAGTGCTTCTCTGAACACATTCAGATGCCGTGCTTCCTACTTTCTACTCTGAAAGTGCCTGCTATCTCTAAATTACAATACAATGTATATGCAACTGCAGACACTTGTAACTTTTATTTTTAATATTAATCAGCAACAGAAGCAACTCCCAATTTACCTTTTTAAAATAAAATATTAAATATCAGGTCAGGACAGTCCAATTAGGATTTACTTTTTTTAAAAAAAGGTTTATGTCACCAAATATTAACTCATATGGTTTATTTTTTAAATTATTAGTATTTCAGAGAAAACACGGCTCTAAATATTCCCCGGCAATATTTGCAACCCAATGGAACAATGCACTGCACTGGTACATAAAAACTAGAACATAAAACAGATTTGAAATCCATTATAAACAAAAGCAAAACTAACTAATCTGTCTTCCTTGTCCAAATTGAAAATGCAAAAAGTAAACAAATCAGGTTAATTGGAAAGAGTAAATTATATTGTTAAAATTATTTCATTTTAATCATTTAAGGTACTAATATTAACAAATGTAAGGGAATATTTTTGTTAAATATTATTTTTATTCTGACAGTGTCCCTTTAAAGTCTAAAATCAGTGTTTCCTTGGGAGAAGTATTACTGAAATACGCAGCTGGGTTTAAGTTTCCGTTTTCAAAATGCTGGTGATAAAGGGCTATTTTATCTTTACCATCATGAAATAAGATTCTCTGCTTGCAACACAGATTACAAGTAACAGAACACACGGGACATCAAAATTAATCCAATCTTTTGAGCCAATAACTCACTAATTTTAAGTACTAAACTTGCTACCACCAGAAAAATAGCTATATAATAACCAAGCTAATGGCTCAAAAAGGTGCCGCATTGGACAACTAATGCCCATGATTACCTTTATTGTTTAGCTGAGGATTTCAATGTATCATTCCTCTAATAAACATGCAGACACCAACCTGAATCTAAATGAAATCATGGTCAAGTGACTAGTGATTTTGGGGTGCCTCAACTAGAGACACCTCAAAGAGGCCTGATTTTTAGAGTGGATACTCAGCACTTTCTGAAAATCAGGTCTCATTCTGGGTCGGAGTATGCTGCGCCCTGGCTCTCCTCAGCTGCCATATGTTTCTTTGGGAATCAAAGCCAACCTGTACAAAGTTACAGCAGACTCCAAGTTGCTGTGTGTTGTGGCTGGGTGGGAGAATCAATTTTCTTCTTAATGTAGTTGCCATTGAGGGCCACAGGTTAGACACCACATCCACAGACCATCTGAAAATATTGGTGCCAGGAAACTACCAGGCTGGGCACTCACCAATTTTTACTACTACTAAGTATAACTAAAATTAATGAGGGGCCTTCAGAAAGTGAAAAATAAATTGTTTTCAGCATTTTGTCTCTCAAGCAAGTTTGCTATTGGAAACCTGCTACTCTGCTACCCTGCTATGGCCTCCTCGCTGAAGAAATTCTGGTGATGAAATGGGAAAGCATCATTCAGCTGACTGTACACGGCTACTAATGATCAAACAGAACTGTAGCATACTAATTTGTCCTTGACTGTTGAAACAGAGGGCCCATACCAGCATCCATGAAATCCTGAACAGTAGAGTTTAGAGTGACTGATAGCATGATTTAATCTAGGCTGTCTCCCCTAAGTTACAGAGTAAAATTTCTTTCTGTGAAGGAATTTTCATACCTTGGGGATAAAATTACTTAAAATTTGGTCCCAGCTCTCTGACACCATTGTGGCATGTGAGATGTGGGCTTCCAGTGCCTTTGGTATGCAGACAACGTCCAGTTTTAAATCTTTATCTTGTCTGACTTAGCTTTCCAAAGAGCTTATAACCAGAATATTCGGAGGACATCATCAAATATTAAGAAAAGGAGTAGTTTTCCTGTCTTTCATGGGTGGAGACACAAATTTCACTTTGTTAGGAAATTCTCCACCCCATCTAAATCATGTCCTCATTAGCCAGGAGCGGCAGGAATTACAGAGATTTTCTTTGATGTAGGAAGAAAGACTTTTTATTGTTTTTTTTTAATTACCTTTTTTGTTTGTGGAACTTTAAAGTAAAGAAGCAACTCTGTTCTTTCCTTGTCTTATTCTATTTCTTTACAAAAAGACCCTGTGAAGAGAAAGACCGTCATACCCACTTATGTTTAAGAGATTGAGACTCCTGACCCTTCTCCGGGCCTAGCTTCAGAAATTGCATCCAAGTTTTCCCACTAGAACCTCTCAGGGAAGACTTCCCTTTAGGAAAGATTTTTAAACTTTAAGTGGTACTATGAACTCAATGAAACAATCTTATTTTCAAAAGGAATAGAAATTTTACATTGCTCCTTAAAGGGTTGATTTGGATCAAGGCCTCCTTTGCTGCTCCCTTGCCCAAATCTGTGAGACAAGTGGGGGGCACTTGGTAGAAGAATGAAATGCTACCAAGGAGACCGAAGAGAGCGTCTGGAGGCATATACCCAGTATGTCTCTCTAAGGAAAAGAACAGCCACTTCATCACCTTTTGTGAGATAACTGGAAGCTGAAAAACTAGATGTAGAATTGCTTAACCCAGAGGTTCTCAAACTTCATTGCACCGCAACCCCTTTCTGACAACAAAATTTACTACACGACCCCAGGAGGGGGGACCAAAGCCTGACCCCGTCCTGGGTGGGGGGGCCAAAGCCCAAGCCTCACCACCCCAGGCAGGGGGACCAAAGCTGATGCCCAAGGGCTACAGCCCTAGGCAGGGGGCCTGTAACTGAGCCCCACAGCCCAGGGCTGATGTCCTCGGGCTCCAGCTTTAGCCCCGGAAGGTGGGGCTCGGGCTTTGGCCCCGGCCCCAGCAAGTCTAAGCCAGCTGTGACAATCCCATTAAAACAGGGTTGCAACCACTTTGGGGTCCCAACCCACAGTTTGAGAACTGCTGTCTTAACCCCTTGCTGCTGTGTCCTCAAACCAAGAGTCAGCCTATAAACCCAAATCAGAAACCCAAGAGAATTTTTTTTAATCTAGCAGTTTTCAGGAGAAAAACTTTGAAGACGATAGTGGGTGGGGGGAAAGGAGGTTACTTAACTGTAACTGGAGGGTCTTCCAGATACGTGGTCCCTATTTGTATTCTACATGTGGGTACGCATGCGCACCATGCTCTCCTGACTCTGGAGATTTTTAGGAAGCAGTATCCATTGGTCCCCACATGAGCGGTTGTTCTCTTCATGCTCTGAACTGAGGGCATAAGGGGCAGTGCAGACTAGCGCCTCTCCAGTTCCTTCTCCTACTACAAATCTAGTAATATCCGCAGCAGAGAGAAAGAAAGGCAGGTAATGGAATACAAATATGGACTATACATCTAAAACACCCTCGAGTAACCTCCTTTTCTTCTTTGAGTGATGGCCCCTGTATGTATTCCACCTGAGAGATGAGTAAGCAGTAGTCATACCGGAAGTGGGTGCAAGGTCACAGAAGTGATGGCTGAATGTAATATTGCTGTCTCCACAGCTGAATCTGTAGTTGATGACTGGCTGAAGCGTAATGTCTTGTAAAGATGTGGAAGGAGCTTCAGGTAATTGGTCTACATATCTCTAGTAGAGGTACATCTCTTACAGATAAAGAAGAGATTGCTTACACTCTGGTGGAATGACCCTCACCCTCTCTTGGGGAGGTATGTGAGCTAGTTTCATAGCAAAGGAGAATGCAGCCAGAGATCCATTTAGAAAGACTCTGAGCATGTATATCTTGACCTCTCTGCTATGGTAACAAAAAGTCTAGATGTCTTTCTATGTGCTTTTGTAAATAAAAGGCCAGTGCTCTTTGGACATCAAGAGAATGAAGACATCTCTTCTCAGCAAACACATGGGAAAGAAAAAAAAATGGTAAGGGGATGGTTTGACTCTCGTGAAATTCTGAAATTACGTTAGTGATGAATTTCAGGTGAGGGTGAAAGAAAAAAGACCTTTTCTTTATGAAAGATAGCATATGGTGGGTCTGCCATGAGCCCTCCCAGCTCACTGACTCTTCTGGCTGATGTGATGGTGACTACAAAGGCAACTTTCATTGAGAGAGGGGTCATGGTCCATGTGGCTAAAGGTTCAGGAGGAGGTCTGGTGAGAGATGAAAGAATAACATTGAGGTCCCATTGAGGTCTTGGCTTCACCAGTCGTGGGAAGGATTTAAGAAGTCCCTTACGGAATCTATTTGTCATGGGATGAATTAAGAGGATACAGTCGTTGATAGGAGAATGAAAAGCACTGATTGCTGCTAAATGACTCTGTAAGGAGCTAACAGAGAGACCCAAGCCTTAAGGATAAGTAGATATTCTAGAATAGCAAGGATCCCAGTGCTAGGGAATTCTGCACAACTAGTAGTTATGCTGCAGAAAGAGTTACTTGATGTCTGATATATCAATTCCAGAGGTTGACTGTCTCTGCACACAGAGGAAAGGATATTGTTCCTCCCTGCTTTTTTATATTTAGAAGACAGTTAACATACTGTCTGACATTATCTGGATATGTCATGACTGAATGAGTGGGAGGAAAGTGTTGCAGACCCAACAGACCACTGTTAATTCCAATAAACTGATATGCAACCTGAACTCCCGAAGGGTCCAGTTGCCTTGTGCAGTATGATTGTTCATATGACATCCCCCATGTAAGAGGGAACTATCTGTAATGATACTCACCTCAGGTGTAGGTGTGAGGAAAGGAGTCCCCACTTGAACTTTCTCCGGCTTTGTCCACCGGACAAGAGAGGCTAGAATCTTGGATGGAACTATTAATTGGGACTGATGTTGATTTTTTCTGGTGAGTAGATGGACTGAAGCAAGGTATGCAGATAATGGAGATGGAGCCTGGCAAACGGCATCAGGTGTGCACATGAGGAAAAGGCAAGTCTAACTGAAGTCCATGGGTGACCTGTTTTATGAGATTGCCCATGGCATGGAATCTTTCGACTGGTAGCTAGGATTTTGCTCTCATTGAGTCTAAGGTTGCTCCTAAGAAGTTTGAGGACCTTGTGGGTGGTCAAAGAGGACTTTTTGTGATTGGTAAAAATTCCCAGGGAATGTAGCATACAGAGGAGGAATTGAGTTGGCAACTGGGCCTTGTATGGTCTGCCTGTCAAAAGCCAGCGAGTCACAAAAGCCACAGTTGAGGGATCCATACTCTTTCTGGTCACTTTCTCCTGCTAAGGAGGTTTACTCTGGCAAAATCTACAGAACACAGGTGTGAGGACTGTCCTGACCTTGAAGGAGAGGAGGGATCTCTTTTCTGGGGGGCATCCTTGGAAGAAGATGATTTGTCTCTATGCTTGTAAGAGTTTCCTTTACTCTCAAGAGAAGCCTTCTCCTTTGTCTTGGAAGTCTTAGCCTCAACTCCTGAGCTCCTGCACTGCCTGTTGACTGAGGCTGATGTACAGGGGGGTCTCCCCGACCCAGATCTGAGTGGAGTCTCCTGGCTTTCTCCATCAGATGTTTTCTAAGTCTTAGCTCTTCATCATCATGAGTTCTGGGAGGGAAGGAGCAGCAAATCCTGTACTTCACTGAGATGTGAGCCTCACCTAGGCAGTAATAGCAGAGTTGGTGTATGTTGCTCACTAAAAAGTAGCGGGGACAAGAAACGTAATTTTTGAACTCCAGGACTCTGGACATAATCCTAACTCCTCAGGAAGGATTTCCTGGGGACAGTGAAAAACAACTAACTAACCACACTAGTACTTAAAACTAAAAGAGTTAAATACTAAAACTATTTAAAAATATATTTACATATAGACACAATTGAAGAAGAAACTGGATGAAGGTTCCAACTCAGGCCATGTGGCAGTAACAAGGAACTGGAGAGATGCCACTTCCCTTATACCCTCGGTTCACAGTGAGAACAACAACTGCGTGTGTGTGGACCAATGGACACTGCTTATTAAAAATATCTGAACTAAAGATGCATCAGGCAAGGTATTTCCAATAGAGACAGGGAAGTGTTTCATTATACAAGGCACTGGTGATACCTCATCTGAAATACCATGTGCAATTCTGGTCCCCCATGTTTAAGAAAGAAGAATTCAAACTGGAACAGGTGCAGAGAAGGATTACTAGGATCATCCAAGGAATGGAAACCCTACCTTATGAGAGGAGACTCAAAGAGTTTGGCTTGTTTAGCCTAACCAATAAAAGGCTGAGATATGATTGCTCTCTATAAATTCATCAGAGGGATAAATATCAGGGAATTATTTAAGTTCAGTGTCAAAGCTGATGCAAGAACCAAGGGATATAAACTGGCCATCAGTAAGTTTAGGCTTGAATTTAGATGAAGGTTTTTAACTATCAGAAGAGCGAAGTAACAGCCTTCCAAGGGGAGTAGAAGGGGTAAAAACCTAACTGGCTTCAAGACTGAGCTTGATAAATGTATCGAGGGTATCGTATGATGAGACTGCCTACAACAGCATGTAGCTGATCTTCCACTGCTAGTAGCAAATATCTCCAGTGGCTGGTGATGGGACACTAGATGGGAAAGGCTCTGACTTACTACAGATAATTCTTTCCCAGGTGTCTGGTTGGTAGGTTTTGCCCACATGTTCAGAGGCTAACTGATCATCATGTTTGGGGTCAGGAAGGAATTTTCCCCCAGGTCAGAAAGGCAGAGATCAAGGGGGAAGGGGGGGCTGCCTTCCTCTGCAGCATGGGGCACAGGTCACTTGCAGGTTTAAACTAGTGTAAATGGTGGATTCTCTGTAACTTGAAGTCTTTAAATTATGATTTGAGGACTTCAGTAGCTCAGCCAGAGGTTATGGGTCTGTTACAGGAGTGGATGGGAGAGGTTCTATGGCCTGCAATATGCAGGAGTTCAGTCTAGATCAGGGGCTCCGAAACTATGGGCCACAGCCAAAAGCTGGGCTGTGATACAGTCCCAGGTGGCCTGCCATGGGCAGAGTTGTGGGGGCATTGTCTCCCCAAACTGTATACATTGGCGGAGTGGCAGCTGGTGATGGTGGTTAATTGTAAAAGTTTTTTAAATCCCGTGAATTATTCTTCTATAAAGGGAGAAATGGAGCCTGCCATCTGCACAGGTTTGGAGTCAGAGAACTCCTGATAGGCAGCCCAAGGACCTGGCTCAGAGCTAAATACTTGGCGCATGAGTGCTGAACAATTTGTAGAGTGGGGGTTCTGACAGTCATTGAATAAACTGTAAACCCTGTATATAATGGAAACCACTTCAAGCCAGGGCATGCTGCAGTACCCCCACACCACTAGTTCAAGCGCCTATGATTCGGCATGCTTCCAGCTGTTATGAGGAAGGTGAACACTTGCACTGTAAAGACTGTTGGGCATAGAAGAGACAGAGAAAATAAAAATCCAGTGGATCCAATTATATTGTATAGTGTTACATACCTGCATTTTTTTCTCTTGTTCATTTTCACCTATCATTCCTGAGCTACTAACACTTTCATTTCCATCAATAGACACCTGAAAATAATATGAAAGAAAAAAAATTAAAATTATATACCAGTTGCTTTTCTTCAGTGAATAATGCAGAAGTGAAAGGACTCAGCTTCTGAGGGCGCACACTCATTCATAGCTCTGTTACTCCATCATCTTGAAACATGGCTACCATATGGTATATTAGCTCTTAAAAAATGTAAAATCCTCCCCATGTTATAACAAAAGCCTTGTATAACTACCAAAGTGCTGAACTTCTTAAGGTTGTATTCAATTAAGGAGGGAGAGCAAGGACCAAATTTGTCCCGGATTTAACTACAGTGACTTCAAGAGCTAGTTTGGTCACCAATGACTTCAATTAAGCTAAAATCAGGGATGAATTTGGTTCTAAATCTTTCTTCTAACCAAACATTTCTAGCATTGTTCTGGGCATGGAGTTCCTGAAACTATTAGTAAAGGGGACATGATGGCAAATTTAAAAGTATAGAGCCAGATCATGCCCTTACAATGGCCCCTTTGAGCTGTTCCAACGGCACAAATAGACAGTAAAACCAGCTTAACTAGACAGCAAAGGATTCCTCCAATGTGGGAGAATCCACCATAACCATTTCTACACTATCCCCAAAGCTCCTGGCTCAGAAGCATTCTTACCCTAACCCTTTCAACAGCTAGCTCATGACTTCATCTCGTCTCAACCACTGCAATTCCTTTTTCTATAATCCTCCTACATCCAATGCCTTGTAAACTTCAGGGAGTTCCTACTCTCCATTACCTTCACTGGTTTCCAAACCACCTTTTAAATTATTCAAAATAACCCTTGTGGTTTTCCATATATTTGCTTCTACTATACCCCTCTGATTTTCTATCCACTTCTACATTTGCTATCTCACTCTGCACTTTCAGTATTTAATTTCATGATCCCTACCTTCAACTCTACACAGTTTGAAGTTACATCTTTTATTTGTGATGCCTTGTCTATTAGGAATTCATCCTTTTCCATCTTCCACGCTTCTAACTAATTCCTCTAATTAATTCTCATCATATATTTCTTAGTTTACAAGATCTCTGTGTAAAATGTATTGTGATGCTATATATTAAAGAAACTACATACAGATAAAATGTATTATAATGTACCTTAGCTGCATACTGCTCCAAAGCACTGATGGTATCTGGATCAATTGTAGCATCTCCCGTATGAAGGCCTGCTACTGTGCCATCAGCTTGAATAGCTAAGATGGTATCTGACTGTGGCATTTGAACTGTATGGTGAATGTAAGCAGTGGTTCCATCTTCCAGCTGGACTGCCTGTAATGCACTCTGGTCATAACTGTCTAAGAAATAATATTAAAAACACTGTTAAGACAGGGAATGAATATCAGAGTCTGCATTTCTCCAATATAAAGGCATCACATATGTGAAATTATCAATACACATTAAAATGCTACTGATGAGTACAATAGTTTAGAAAATTGCTATCAATACCACAGGTTGAATTTGTTGTAAATGATTACTTACCCCAAAATACTTCTATTTCTGTCCGCTTATAAACAGCATTACAATTACAATTACAGCCTAGCTCTTACTTACAAAGTATTACACCATACACTTTGAAATTTCTACTCACTAGTGATCAATTAATTGTTGATACTCTCTGTTTTAGGATTTGTATACCTGCTTCCTTTACACTAAGAACCCAAGCATCCTTCAACGGCTAAAGCAATGTTTTGCCATTACTTTAATTTTACATAAAGGTTTAAACACTTTGCATATGGCATTGTTTACAGAAACGAGTAATCTGTGGGAACCTAATAAGCAACCACAACAATAATTTCAATATTAAGATCATATAAAGATGTAGGGCTTGAAACATTTACCCAATATCTACTAGCCTGAGGAGTAAGTCTTCCAATCAGGGTGAAAATACCTGTGCTGTCACTCCCCTCAAAACCTTTGTGACACACAGTCCCATTGGTGATTCACTACTTTGTGTCAGCAACTCTTGATAGGCCTGACATACTCACTACACCTAACATTGCTGTGATGACATATATCCAAACATCATCATGTAATACATCACTGGAAAACTAATAACTCACTGATTATTAATATTCTCGTCTGATGTACAGAGTTATAAATATGTGCCTGAATTATGTTTTTAAAAGGCGTTTGGCAATCAATGCATAAACACTGTCTGCCATAGATAAAGAAATGTGTATTTGCTTGTCTGACCTGCCTGGTCACCAGGCAGAGACAATGAAGGCACATTTATATAAAAGGTAAAAAAGGCCATCAAACTAACGAGTGGGGAGATAGCTTCTTAAATATAAAGACAGCGGGGTCTGAACCTCAAATATAAGCAGCTGAATCAGCTAATTGTATACAATATTACTGTATTATACAAATGTATTGAGTAAGAGCTTTTATGAAAGCCTGTGACACACTAGTGATTAATATCAATGTAAAATGTATGCATTAACACTATATAACAAATTATAGATACTCACTGTTCTTATGCTTTCAAGTGTGTGACCACACACAGGGAGAAACAGGTTTTCTCCCAGATAGAGGGAAGGCAGCTACCTATTTGTCTCCAATGTAAATTAAGTAGTGTGGAATAAAAACAATGGAAGCTCAATTTACATACAAATCAGCAGGGGAATGGAAACTGTACCCCTGGAAAGCCTTCCTGCTTTGTGAAGCAGGGCCAATGAAATTTAGGAAGATAGCATGGTGTCTAAATCCCAGCAGGACTTACTTTCCAAAGAATACATTTCAAAGGTTAACTGGACTATAAAAGGAAAGGGGGAAAGAACCCCATAGGTCCATCACTTGGCGGATTCAAGGGGCCTGAGCTCTTGAAATCACAGAATCTTGAGTCCTTCAAGCAAGAGGGCTGAAGTCTCTGGGAACTGAATATTGGTGACAAACCTGCTTAGGCAAGGATTAAAAGTTAATTTTAGCAAGTACCTGTCCCTGAAGTGTATTTTTACTTTTGTTTGTTTGTAACCATTTCTGTCTTTATTTCTTATACTTGGTATCATTAAACCTATGACTTTTTGTTTAATAAACTTGTTTGACTTTTACTTTAAATCAATTCTATGGTGTGACTGAAATAAGAGCATTTGTCAAACTGCAGTGAAATTAATGAACTGCTGTTTATTCTCTTTACAGCAGCAACAAACTTAACTTCTGTGAGTGTTCCAGAAGAGAGCTGGACACTGCAGGGAGATGTCTCGGGGAAATTCAGGAGTTGGGGTTCACTTTTACTTGTAAGGCAAAGTTTGGACTGGCAGAGCCCTGAGGAGTTTGCTGGCAAGGCAGACAAGCTGGTGTGGCAGGAGAATTGTCACACAGCTTAGCAGTAGCAAAACTCTCACTTGCTGAGGCTCAGAAGAGTAACTCAGTAACTCACAATTCTGGGAGCCTCAGCAAATTATCACACGGAGACAAAAAGAAAAGGAGTACTTGTGGCACCTTAGAGACTAACCAATTTATTTGAGCATGAGCTTTCGTGAGCTACAGCTCACTTCATCAGATGTATACCGTGGAAACTGCAGCAGACTTTATATACACACAGAGAATATGAAACAATACCTCCTCCCACCCCACTGTCCTGCTGGTAATAGCTTATCTAAAGTGATCAACAGGTGGGCCATTTCCAGCACAAATCCAGGCATTGGCACCCTGACAGCAGGATTGTCTGGCTATGTAGACTCCCTCCTCAGGCCCTACGCTACCAGCACTCCCAGCTACCTTCGAGACACCACTGACTTCCTGAGGAAACTTCAATCCATCGGTGATCTTCCTGATAACACCATCCTGGCTACTATGGATGTAGAAGCCCTCTACACCAACATTCCACACAAAGATGGACTACAAGCCGTCAAGAACACTATCCCCGATAATGTCACAGCTAACCTGGTGGCTGAACTTTGTGACTTTGTCCTTACCCATAACTATTTCACATTTGGGGACAATATCAGATCAGCGGCACTGCTATGGGTACCCGCATGGCCCCACAGTATGCCAACATTTTTATGGCTGATTTAGAACAACGCTTCCTCAGCTCTCGTCCCCTAAAGCCCCTACTCTACTTGCGCTATATTGATGACATCTTCATCATCTGGACCCATGGAAAAGAAGCCCTTGAGGAATTCCACCATGATTTCAACAATTTCCATCCCACCACCAACCTCAGCCTGGTCCAGTCCACACAAGAGATCCACTTCCTGGACACTACAGTGCTAATAAACAATGGCCACATAAACACCACCCTATACCGGAAACCTACTGACCGCTATTCCTACCTGCATGCCTCCAGCTTTCACCCTGACCACACCACACGATCCATCGTCTACAGCCAAGCTCTGCGATACAACCGCATTTGCTCCAACCCCTCAGACAGAGACAAACACCTACAAGATCTCTGTCAAGCTTTCTTACAACTACAATACCCACCTGCAGAAGTAAAGAAACAAATTGATAGAACCCGAAGAGTTCCCAGAAGTTACCTACTACAGGACAGGCCTAACAAAGAAAATAACAGAACGCCACTAGCGGTCACCTTCAGCCCCCAACTAAAACCCCTCCAACGCATTATTAAGGATCTACAACCTATCCTAAAGGATGACCCAACACTCTCACAAATCTTGGGAGACAGGCCAGTCCTTGCCTACAGACAGCCCCGCAACCTGAAGCAAATACTCACCAACAACCACATACCACACAACAGAACCACTAACCCAGGAACTTATCCTTGCAACAAAGCCCGTTGCCAATTGTGCCCACATATCTATTCAGGGGACACCATCACAGGGCCTAATAACATCAGCCACACTATCAGAGGCTCGTTCACCTGCACATCCACCAATGTGATATATGCCATCATGTGCCAGCAATGCCCCTCTGCCATGTACATTGGTCAAACTGGACAGTCTCTACGTAAAAGAATAAATGGACACAAATCAGATGTCAAGAATTATAACATTCATAAACCAGTCGGAGAACACTTCAATCTCTCTGGTCACGCAATCACAGACATGAAGGTCGCTATCTTAAAACAAAAAAACTTCAAATCCAGACTCCAGCGAGAAACTACTGAATTGGAATTCATTTGCAAATTGGATACTATTAATTTAGGCTTAAATAGAGACTGGGAGTAGCTAAGTCATTATGCAAGATAGCCTGTTTCCTCTTGTTTTTTCCTACCCCCCCCCCCCCCCAGATGTTCTGGTTTAACTTGGATTTAAACTTGGAGAGTGGTCAGTTTAGATGAGCTATTACCAGCAGGAGAGTGAGTTTGTGTGTGTATGGGGGTGGGGGGGATGTGAGAAAACCTGGATCTATGCAGGAAATAGCCCGACTTGATTATGTAAAGAGTTGTCACTTTGGATGGGCTAGCACCAGCAGGAGAGTGAATTTGTGTGGGGGGGTGGAGGGTGAGAAAACCTGGATTTGTGCTGGAAATGGCCCACCTGTTGATCACTTTAGATAAGCTATTACCAGCAGGACAGTGGGGTGGGAGGAGGTATTGTTTCATATTCTCTGTGTGTATATAAAGTCTGCTGCAGTTTCCACGGTATACATCTGATGAAGTGAGCTGTAGCTCACGAAAGCTCATGCTCAAATAAATTGGTTAGTCTCTAAGGTGCCACAAGTACTCCTTTTCTTTTTGCGAATACAGACTAACACGGCTGTTCCTCTGAAACCTGTCACACGGAGACAGTTTTGGGTAAATTTGGGACTGGGTGGGTATTTGGATCACTGCAAAAATAACTGGGTGGTGGAAGCCAGGGTGTGACCTGCACGCTTGTAACACTGGCAATTGGTGTCAGGGCTGTGAGCCACAGTACCACAGCACTGAAAGCACGCAGAGTTACAGGGCAGGTTGTGTCATAACCCCTCATTGGTCTGGGTTAAAATATCATACCCGCACTGCAATTTAAATGAATAAAAGTACTGCATACTATGTACTATATGTAAATCACACAATTAACTAACTTTCACCTTATGAAGTGTACCAGATTCAGGGTTTTTAGTAGAAAAGTGAAACTAGCAAGACTCTGCTATTGTTTATGGTTTTCCCAAGATACACCAGAGTGAAAACTGACCAGATGCACAGCTATCTTCCTATCCACACACTCAAGAAGCCAGCAAAACATCAGTTTATACTCAGTCCATATTTTTTTCTTCACAACCATAAGGTCTAGAAATAATCACTCTCCTGTGTCAGATTTGGAAAGTAAATGGATACAGAAAGGTACGACTTCTAATGTGATAATGAAGGAGAAGAAAGATCATATATTGTCCAAGTCCTTTAGTGAAGTACACCCGTATTGGTACGACATTATTTTTCCCTTCTTTCGAAGGCCAATCTAAGGCTCAATTTAAAATAAAATAAATGTGCATACTTGACTGTCAGCTATGGTGTTCTTTGTGTGTTACATTGATAGGTCTTCCAAAAAGTATCAAATCTCACACACAGAGTATTTAAAGGTTTCAGAGTAACAGCTGTGTTAGTCTGTATTCGCAAAAAGAAAAGGAGTACTTGTGGCACCTTAGAGACTAACCAATTTATTTGAGCATAAGCTTTCGTGAAGTGAGCTGTAGCTCATGGAAGCTTATGCTCAAATAAATTGGTTAGTCTCTAAGGTGCCACAAGTACTCCTTTTCTTTTAGAGTATTTAAAATGTCCCCAGAGCTCAAAAATCTCATTCAAGTTATGTCTGCTTTTTTCTGGTTTCCTTTTTTCATTTCCAGGTCCAGTCTTTCTTGAAATTTATACAAGGGTTTAAATTCTCTAGAAGTAGCATGACTGTTTCTAAGTTAAGATTCTAGGATAGCACACAGAAATGCCCAGCAATCTTCTGATCCAGCCATTTACTACTACATTCTGAATGAGGAAATCGAACCACTCTCAACTCAGCTGTTTTCAGATGTTCCTATTTAAATGCAACAAGTTATTTACAATAAGAATACTTGTAAATATGGTCATAATCTAAACATATTGTCAGAAGTGGTACTCTAGAAGAGAAATTACAATTAAATTGTTTCATAATATAATGAATCACACTTCAAAATGCAGTTTACCTTTTGAAGCGTGATGAATAAATGCAGTCGTTCCATCTTCCAGCTGAACTGCCTGTCCATCTTCCAGGCGCAGACTGTCCCCTGTTTGGGGAAGGGAGGGTGGAGAGCATAACTTTAGGCATCACCAATCATAAATGTATTTGATTTAATGTTTTAACAGATTAGAAACCACAGTCACTAAAAATATTAACCTTCAAATAATAAAAGTATATGTATTGGACATCTGAAATTATTGTAACAATGTTTTATTGATTCTAACTATACTATATTATACCAGTGCAGTCAATATTTAAAAACATACTCATGGATGTAATATACTTACTACTTTTTGGCATGGATACATGTTGAACATAGGCAGCAGAGCCATCTTCTAGTTGAATGACCTGGCCATCCATTAATTTACCATCTGGAATACATTATATTTATGTAAAATATCCTATATGACATGTTACATTTTAAACCATACCATTGAAACTCTCTGGAATAAAGTATTTCATAGAACAAAAATACAGTTTAAGAAGTATTAACCACAGTATTAGGATGTGTAAAGTGCTTTGAGATCCTGGGATAAAAAACACTAAATTGGGACCAGATCCCCATTGTACTGGGTACTATACAAACAAGCAAATAAATACACTGAATACTCTGAAGCACTTGGCATTGGCCACTTTCAGAAGACAGGATACTGGACTAGATGGACCTTTGCTCTGATCCAGTATGGCCGTACTTATGTACAGTGAAGAATTATTGATTTTTAGTCAGGCACATACCTTTAGAATTGTGCTGTATGTAAGCAGTGGAGCCATCAGCAAGCGTAACTGCCTGCAAACTTACACCTTCCATGTTTTCTAAATTGTCACCATCTATTGGGGGAAAAAGTTTATTTACAATATTGCCAACTCCATACGCTCTAAAATTGTGAGTCAAGCCCCAAAAAATCATGGGATGGACTTAAAAGCTTTGTATTAGCCTTTTGATTTTGAACCTTTAGGATATACTGAGGTCACATTGTTAAGTTTTTATCCATAAGCATGAGAACTAAAATGTTTTATTTTAAATAAAAGCTAAAATTCTCATGAAATAAAATGGCCTGAGAACTGGGGCTTTAAGAAAAACACCTAATATTGAAGACTCACAACAAAATCATGAGAAATGGCAGTATTACATGCACGTAATGTAAATCATTGTTCTGTGCACCATCAGTCATTAACACATAAAAGACCATTTTGAATAAAATATAGTAATTAGACAAAAGCTTTTATTCTTTTATAAATATTAAGCATGGCCAAGAAAGCATCAACATGTTAATATCAATCCTAAAACACCATTCTTTCTGTAAAACTGAGTCTATTTTGTACATCATTTACATATAAATTGGAATTACATAATCCAAAATAGTAATGCTGTATTTTAATTTGATTGGAATCAGATTTTATACTACAAACACAACTGTTATTTTAATTAAGCAATAATTTCATTTCAGAATTAAATCAAATTTCAGATTAATCAAATACACTATCTAAAAACAATTTGGTCTTTTTATTATTTTCTCCATTTGCAATACACAACATCACTCCAAAGCTTAGACGTTCAACAGAGTACACAGTCTGCTCTTTCTGAATGCAAAACTACAAACTGCATGATGATGTGGAGATACTTTAACCTGAATGCTCACCTTGCACAGCTACTGCTTCTGTCAAACAGAGAGTCACATGCTGAGCCTCCATCCCTCCTCCAGAAAACTCAGTCATTCCCTGAGAGTCTCGATTTATCTGGGCTAGTAACATTGTTTATCTAGAAACAAATAGCAAGTTTACAAAACATAAAGACTTAGAACCATAAGAAGTAACATCAAGAAATTATGTGAAATTTTATTCCATTTTCTGGATGAGACACAAATCCTAGAGGTTAAGAACAATCCTACTTTAACCAGAATTTCACTTAGCATGTTATGGATAGTTTGTCTTACCTACCTCATAGAGATGATACAATTATTTATTAGTGTCTGGAAAGTGCTTAGAAGATGAAAAAAAAGTGCTATATGAAATGGCCAACTATTATTCTCATTAACTTTATCAAAGTAATTGCTAGATTTTAGGTGGGTCCAACTCTATTTATACTTCAATTAAACTTCAGTAATTATACCGCTAATTAAGGCTTACTAAGCTTTAAAAAGTATTTGGGCCAGTTTACACTGTACTATAATCTCTTTTCAGACTTAAAAACAACAACTTTAACAAATCACACATGGCCATATGGAGAACCCCTTCTGAGTCCTATTAAAGTCAGTGGGACTATCCATTCAAGTAACTGCTCAACAGTAAGACTAAGAGGTTCACACTCTGGCCCATGCTAAAGAAAGACCTGAATATTGGGAAGTCAGACTGAATGATCCAGCTGTTTATTTTCTGGCTCTATTATTCAGGATTCTATTAAAAGAATGACCTGCTCGAAAGTAACTATGTTTTATGTTATAAAACTGTCACTATGAGAAGAGGAATTGACTGGCAAATGGAGACTGCAACTGAGCACTTACCTGGTAAAATCAGGTAACCTTATCCCTTTTCAATGAGAAATGTATTTTATCCAAGTTCAACACAAGGGACTACAGAACACTGTTGGATCCTAAAGTCTGCAAGTACGGTTTCAAAAATCATATATTCCACAATTAGCCAGCAGTTACGGATTAAATGGACAACAGTGACTTCTAAGAGCTCTGATGTTGGTTCCATCACCACAGAAATCAAAAACTGGACTGGACAGACCATATATTTCACTTGCACCTGCCAGCTGAGTTCTTCAGTGCTCTTTAAGTAACATCACATACCGACTCAACCAGGAATTCTTGAAATTGATTTGTATGGGCACTGCAGAGGCTCATTTCTCCCTTCTGACATATTGCACACAGAGCTGCAGATTTAGGAAAAATCATAGAGAAAACTACACTAATTTATTAAGCTTCTGAAGCGCTTAGCTAGTTGGCTTTAAAGTTATATTTCTATTTCATCCCTTCCAATCAGACAGCTTCTCTTAAAGTAACAGAAACATAGATCATTTAGAAAAACATGCAAAAGGATTACATTTGCATATAACTGACAGGCAGATTTCTCATCTCATCATCTGGTTCTCTCATAAAGAAAAACTCCAGTGCAGAAAAATCACCTGGATCAGATATTATTCACACCAGGTTTCTGAAGGGAAAAAAATGTGCAATAGCAGATATTTTAAAAGTGGTAGGATCATGGATAGGGCATGGGACTGGGTCACTGGAGATTTAGGTTCAATTCCTGTCTCTGCCACTGGCCTGCTGGGTGACCATGGACAAGTCACTTCCCTTCCTGTGCTTCAATTTCCCCTTTTGTAAAATAGATAGTGATACTGACCTCCTTTATAAAGAGCTTTGAGATTTAAAGACAAAAAGCCCTATCTAAAAGTTGGGTATTATTATTAATGATGATGGTCTAAGTTCTTAGCACTTACATAGTGCTTTACATACTCAGAGTGTTCTCTAGTCATTAACTAATTAATTTTCAAGACACCTCTCTCAAATAGGTTGCTTAGTAACTATCCTCATTCTACAGATGGGAGGACAGAGGCAAGGAAGTTACTGATCTTGCCCATGACTACATTCTGAATCTGGCAGGGATTAGAATGAAGGAAGTCCTGGCCACCAGCCCAGTGCTCAGTCCACTGAACTGTGTTGCCTCTCTTATATTCATACAATACATCCTTTAGAAGATCTAATGTAGCTAAAAACTGGAAAGCTACTAATATGGTATCTGTCTTTTAAAAAAAAGTCAAGGGAGATCATGAGAATAGAGTTGGATTACAGACAGAAGAACAGAACACTTAAATGAGAAGTATAGCCTGACAGGGTCAAATCATCATGTCTGTTGTATGAGAAAACGTCTGCTTTTATTTGCAGAAAAAAATAAATTTCAGTGATCTAGTCACAATTATTTACTTGAATTTTCAAAATATTTTATAAAATCCCTCCACTAGAGGACAAAGAGAAAAACTGCAGTGGATTAAAAAAAAATTAAAAACAAAAAGAGTCAGTGAACTTCTGACTACTCAGTACAGACAGAGGTTAACAGCAAAGATAATCTAACGGTTGTTACAGAGGCCACCACTGTTTTACTCAATTAGACACACAAAAAACCTATGTGAAAAAAACACTACTAGAGTTGCAAAGTCAAGCACTCAAAAGTTAGAAAATGCCAGAGTTAGGGTGGTCTCTGCATCCTTAATTCAGGTTCCTTGTGCCTAGGCATTATTATAATGTTCTAATTACGTAATCACGTATTATTTTTTCCATGACCCCTGCCTCATGCACTGCACGGGATGGACGATCTTCAGTTGAAGAGTAGCTATTCAATATTTTAGTTTATCCTCATTTTTTAAATGTGTGGCCTTTAAGCCTTATTTACTACCTACTATGCTCAGAAGACAGAATTAACTTCCTTGTGGGCTTTTTTATGGCATTCTTCACTTAGTAACAGGGTACGTCTACACAGAAAACAACAAAACACTGCGGCAGCAGTGAGTCTCAGAGCCCAGGTCAGCTGATGCAGGTTCCCTGGGCTCCTACTGTAGGACTAAAAATAGCAATATAAATATTTGGGCTCAATTTGGAGCCTGGTCAGACGCTCCTTCCCCACCGTGTTTCAGAGCCCGGTCTCCAGCCTGAGCCTGCTATTTTTAGCCCCGAGGTGTGAGCCTGCGTCAGTGGAACCAGGCTCTGAGACTCACTATTGTGAGTTTATTTGGGGGTTTGGTTTTTTTTGTTGTGTTGATGTATTCACAACACCCCTGTCAGGAGCGTATTACCGATGGGGAACTGTCACAGAGAGATTAAGGACAAAAGTACCCAGTAATTGTGGGTGTCTAAACAGATGTCTAGGACCTGATTTTTCAGAGTACTTAGCATTATATAGTACCTTATTTGGTCAAATCAGTAGGAACTGTGCTTTCAGTTACAGCTGTGAGGGCTCAGCATTTCTACAAATCAGACCCCAGGCCTCAAGCTGGGAACCCAGAAAATGAGGATGACACAATTAGTGACCACTTGTGAAAAGTTTGGTTTTAGTCATCTGACTAGCACTGCACCAAGAACTCTGAGGCAGAGGCAGGGATAAAATCCAATTATTCAGTTCAGCATTGAACTTGCCAGGGTCTTAACCATGAGACCATCCTTGCTCTTCCTGCAACTCCCTGCCTCATTCACTACACACCTTCCAATTTCTGAAACAAATAAGACAGGAGGCCTGAAGTCAACAGCCTCCTTCACTGTACAACCCTGATTCATCCCTAGAGCACCATCTGTTCTAGGCACTGAATGAGTCAGAGGGTCCTCTGGAAAAAAAAAAAGAGGACACTAGAACCTCAGAGTTACGAACACATCAGGAATGATGATTGTTCATAACTGAAATGTTTGTAAGTCTGAACAAAACGTGATGGTTGTTCTTTCAAAAGTTTACAAGTGAACATTGACTTAATACAGCTTTGAAACTTTTATTATGCAGGAGAAAAATGCAGCTATTAACCACCTTAATTTAAATGAAACAAGCACAGAAAGTTTCCTTACCTTGTCAAATCTTTTTTTTACTAGTTTATGTTTAACACAGCACTATATTAGCTTTTTTTGTCTCAGCTGCTGCCTGACTGCATACTTCTGTTTCAAATTAGGTGTGTGGTTGACCAGTCAGTTCATAAACTCTGGTGTTCTATTGTACGTGATCATCTAATTAAAGACTGTATCATAATGCATATGCACAAGTAGGCCAAATTAAGGTGGCAAAGGCAACCTTAATTCTGGCATTTTGTAATGTTTGTTTGCTGGACTTTGTAACCTTAATAATGTTCTTTTAACATAGCTGTGTGTGTAATTTGCTAGGTTTCTAAAAAGCAAGTAGGAAAAAAAACCCAAACTCCCAAAAATGTCATCATGTGGCATCATACTGACACCCAAGATTCATGAGCGGGGCTGGAATCTTTAGATTCTCAACACAGACTTCTGCTATTCGAGCCAACTGATAACAGTAGTAGATTATCATTCACTATGTGGACCAACACTAAAGGCAGATGAAACGTACGTTTTGCCAGTGGGTTTCACAGATATTTGCTGACAGCAGAGAAATGGGGAGACTGAGGAATCTGAGGTACCATTTCACACTCTGGAGGAAAACGGGTTCTAGTGGACACAAACTCGTTTCCCCCCAGTCTTCAGACTTTCTGCCCAGCCCCCTCCAACCTGCCCCAGTCCTGTTTCTTCCCCACTCCAGGCTCCCTGTCACGGTCACAGACTCCCTGTCTACCCACTCTCCACTCTTTAGGCTTCTCATCCCAGTCTTCTTGCCCAGCCAATCCCAGTCTCCCCCTCTGGGTTCTCCGTCTGAGTCCTCATCTTCCCTCACAACTCTCAGTCCCAGTCACCTGCTCCCAGCTCTTTGCCTGAACTGTCTCTTCCCCACCCCAATGGATCCCAACCAGTCTCCCTCACTAGGTTCCTCACCTCATCCCCTCCTTGTCTCAGTCTCTTTGCCCAGCCAATCCCAGTTCTCCCCATCACGCACACCCCAGGTCCTTGTCAGATCTGTCTCTCTTCTCCCCCTCACTGGTTCCTCCTCCAGTCAGTCCCAGTCTCCTCCCCTCACCCCAGCTCCTTATCCAATCTCAGTGTTGTCCCCATAACTCCATCAGATGTCCATTTCCCCCCACTCCCGGTTCCCTCACTGGCACCCAGTCCCAGTCTCCACTGTTCCAGTGCCCTGCCCCACCGCAGCCCAGAGCCT